GATCTCCCCCGCATGATCGATTAAACGTGAACCAAGCCATTCGGCGTGATGGGCGTTAAAGTCGCCGAGGATCACGATCTCTGCGGAGGGGATCTGCTGTAGCAACGAATCCGCAGCCATTTGGACGTGGTCGAAGAGTCGGTCTGTTTCAGCATTACCGTATCGCTAAGGCAATAGGAGGTCATCGGTCGTCCTGTGTCGAACAGCGGGGTGCGCGGGAAATTTGAAATAGTTTGAAACAGTTTACGAGATATTTTATTAGTTGATATTATTGATTGATTCAGTTTGATAAGATAAGCCAGGCTTTTCGGCTTCTATGGAGGCTTCGCCACTGCTAGAGATGATATTAATAGAAAGATTAAAACACTAGAGGCACACCAAGGTCCTGGCCGCGATGAAATTCCATCATTATTTGTTAAGGCGTGTTGTGAAGAATTTAGTTTGCCATTATTAATAATTTTTAATAAGTCTATTAAGAGCGGCATATTCTCCTCTCTTTGGAAAAACGCCTATATAATTCCAATTCATAATTCTGGTGATGTTTATTATTTATTTATTAAGGACTTGGTAGACCATATCACAAGTGAAAGTTTACTACATGCAGACGATATGAAAGTTTTCCGTATAATCGAAATGACTGCCTCTTGTTACAATGTGACCTTAACCAGGCCTCTGTCACTCAAGCTACCTGCGTGAAATAATTATTAATTACCTATAATTGCGAGGCGCCCTGGGTGTTAAACGCAGTCGGGGCTAGCGAGTCGTAGGCGATTGAATGTTAAAGTTTTTTAACGCTGTTTACGTAAATAGTTTTATGTAAATACGTGTTGAAATAGTTTTTGTTTAGTGCTTAGTATATTTAAATGTAGGATAAAATTGTTGTAAAAGTTTTAATGTAATTTAAAAATTATATATTTTGTATACTACCTATTTGATAAATTGTAATATGTAGTAAAACGTCGTTCCTACTATTTTAAGTATTTCGTGGATGGATATTATGTGACGAACAAAAGGTTTCAAGTTATGAAAGGTGAATTTATTTCTTTTTTGTTAGATAAGTACTTACAGTAAAAAAGAATTAAGTAATAATTTGATCTACAGAAGAAATAACCTAAGTATTTTATTACAAATTAGTTAAAATTGACACTAAACAAGTATCTACTTATATACTTGTACTTTTCTTTTTGTAATTAAAATATTTTAAGTTACAATAACATAAAATACTGAAACTTTGTATACTAACAATTCTCTTAGGAATCGTGTTTCAGGTTTGTTGTTTACACTATCTACCTATTTCTTCCAAACCTAGCATCGCGATTGCTTACGAATGACCTTGCAATTTACATAGGGCGAAACCATATTTTTGCCCCTCACATAGGGGCGAAAATATGGTCAGTCGATCATAGTCAGAATAGGTACTTCACCGAAGTAACATAATTAACATTACACAATGTTTTTTTTTTACTTTTTATTGACATCCCTGATGCTGCAGCTACACTAACGAGCAACGTCAATGCCCATAAACGCAACAATCATTGCCTTAAATTTAAAGCGATAAAATGAGTGGCTACACTTGAACGGTCAACGCCGTTTCAATTTTTAAATGTTTTTATTAAAATGTTCCTTGAATTTCAAGCAAGATAGACCTTGACGCTACTCCATATTTGATGAGTGTACATTTTTACTATAGGAATATAATTTATCATTGCCAAATTTTTCGTGGCAGAGCCATGCTGCAGTTATATTAATAGTATAGTTGTAGCACGAATGGGTCGGCTCGACCGGGGAAGGACCGCGCTCTCACAGAATACCAGCATAAAATAGTAGCTTAATGCTACTGTGTTTCGTATGGTGAGTGTAGAGAACCGGAGACTCTTTTTACTGGAAACGAGGCATTCCATCCTAGTCCTCACGGGTGACAACGCATCTGCATTTTGATTCGTAATCGAGGATAGATGTAGATGTCTATGGGCCACAGCATCCACATACCATCAGGTGGACTGTGTGCTCATTTGTCACCCTATCCTATAAAATAAAAAAATAAACGAAGAAAAAAAGAATATAAAGAAAAATAAGATGGTAGATGCTACAAATACACAGGAAACGTACATTGTAAATCTATTTATGTTTTATTTTGTTTTCCCGCACCCAAATTGCACTAGAAAGACATCCAATGGTTTAAGCTAAATAATAAGACAAACGTAAATTTATTTTAATGAAATAATAACTAATAAGCCAATCATAAATACTGGTCAAGTGCGAATTAGATACACGTACCCAGGGTTTCGTACCACTGTACACTAGGAATTTCGACCTGCAAAAATTGTTTTTTTTTTCTCGTACGTATTTTTCTTAGTTTCATACCGTAAATTAAAATACTTTTGAAGTATTTTTTTTAATTTAATCTCGAAAAGCTTTTTCATTACTCTACTCCATCGCAGCCTTACGTGCAACCCCGTTGCACTTACCGTGCACAATGAGACAAACGTAGTGTGGCCACTTCAACGCGTAAATTCGCGCGTTAATCTGTTTTATGTACCGCCACTCGAGTTACGGCCAAACGGGAAACGGCATTGTTAATGCCGTTGTCAAATTATCGCGTTAATTCGTGGTCACACCTACATTCAACGTCCATCAACGTGATAATTAACGACATTTCTCCTTAGTGTAGCCGCAGCATTAGTAACCACGGAAAATTCGCTCTGACTTGAGAAGGGGAAAGATGCAAAGTAATTGACACTCGCGCGCTTCGATAAAGTTTTATTTAGTTTGCGTGCGCGATTTATCCAATTAATAATAATTATGTAGGCTATTAAAAGTCGGTAAGTAGTAAACATCAAAAAGTGTAACTTCTGTACGTAGTTCTATTATTTATTTACCTGGTGTTCTCGTAATAAAATGTTTTTGAATGTGCTAAATGTTTTTTTACAACTAAGTAGTTTCTTAGTTGTAAGTTTTACAACTAAGAAAACTCGTCTACAGTATACATACCATATCAATGATCAATCTTTGTCTGAAAGTAATGTTGCTAAAGATTTCTGCGTTACCTTTGACTCTAAATTAGATTATAAGCAACACTTTTATCACTTAACGAAACGTGGTTATCAGTAAGTTGGTTTTGTTACATGAGTTATGTAGGAATTCAAGACCCCTTAGTCTAATATTTCTTCTTAACACTTGTGAGACCGATCCTTGAATACGCCTCGGTAGTCTGGTCACCCAATTACGAAGTGCATATAGCTAGCATAAGTACATATAGCGGGGCTTATGTCGTAAACATGGATTGCGACATAAACCCCGCTATATGTACCGATGATATTTGATCCGCCAGTTGCCATCGTATAACGAAAGAGTAGAATAATTCGTATAACGAAAGATTACTTTGGAGTTAGGAAATTATATAAGCGTAGACAATATTCTGAACTTATTTACCTTCACAAAATCATTCACTCCTCCATCGATTGCCCGGAACTGCATAATTTAATTAATTTCTACGGTCGATCCCGTCTGCGTAACCCGCGTATCTTTCGCCTTGTTGTTTACAGGAACAAACGTCTTTAATCCGGTCATTAGAATGTTTCGAAATTTTGATGAGCTGAGACATCGTAACGCTGATTTGAACATATTTAATTATAACATTTCACAATTTAAAAGATCTGTGATTGCTACGTTAAATAAGTAAATTTCACGGATATTATTAAATAAGTTCTTATTTTTAATTATCACTCATACTATGTATTATTAGTTTTTTTGTCTTTAATACTTGTTGTCATATTTTGTTTTGCTGTGCACACTTTATTGGATTATAGACTAGTTATAATATGTTTGTTACTGTAAATGTGTTTTGTATTGTCTTCATCCTGTTTGTGTACCTTATTAATAAAAGCGGTCTAGGCGCGACCCGAAATGTCCACACGACTAACTTCTCAATGGAAAGAATAAAAAGTATCATATGTTTTAATATTTTATACAATTTTTCATTCGGCACAAAAACGACTTGACCGATTTTGCTCAAAATTTAATGAGATCTAAGTTACACAATTATGCGTTAAATTAAACTAATCCCATGTCAATATCACTCTGTTCTCGAGATACACGAGGCGAAAATTGAATCCGAACATACATACATACAAATATACGTACATGTGCACACACGGACGTCCTCTTAAAAACCATATTATTCGACTCTAAAGACCTTGAAACGTTGAGATATGTTAAAATTTCCAATTGACAAAATTGGACCCCTTACAAAAACTTCCCACTGGGAAGTTAAAAATAAATAAATAATATGGTTCAAAGTGACCGTAGAACGACGTTTCGTTCCACGGTCACATATTTTGTCAACGACTTACGGGTACGGGATTACTATACGGCATTGAAGTTCGTCATGTTGCTGCTTTGCTATATTTATTTACATAGCATCTTCATCATATAGCGTGTATAGATAATATTTTAAATGGACATATTATTCCTTAGTCATCTACGCTTTAATAATATTTCTTGAATTACTGTAATGGTGTTTGGAATTAATACTGACTAATCTATCAATACATATAAAAATAGTTTTCACACCACGTTTTTTTGTCTGTGCTCTATATTTTTCCGGAACTATTAAAAGGATTTTCCATAAATCTTAAAGTACTTACCTATAAATTCTGAATTACCTGCAACTTTGTTTTATACTGTTATAATTATTGAAGAGTGCACTATTTTAACTTATAATACCTACCAGTGAAAACTAATAGCCAATCGTTTTTAGTTTGTCTTTAGGTTATTGTGATATTCATGTTTCAATTGTAGATTTCTCAGTATTCCCGTTAGATGCGTTAATATCTCCACTATATCGACATGCATTTCTTTATGTTACGCCAAAATTTGTGATGGGTCCATTATCTATAAAAAAAGAAATTGTCTTCTTTTAGGATTATTGTTTTTACAACAAAAATTACGCAAAAGTTATTCTGTTAATGTTATTAATAATGCCTGATTCTCGTTCTTAGGACTTACGTAAGTTTATCGAAACATCTCAACACGGGGTAATATATATTAGTTTTGGATCTTTGATAAGAACAGCTGCAATGCCTAGAGATAAATTAGAAACTATTTTAAGCACACTTTCGGAGCTTCCTCAAAGAGTTATTTGGAAATGGGAAGAGGACTCTTTACCAGGAAATCTGAAGAAAATATATATATCTAACTGGTTACCTCAAAATGACATATTAGGTATAAAAACAATATTTCAATAAATACATTAATATCCTTACTTCAGTCGAAGTTTATAATATTTTTAATGTTAATCGACAGGTCATCCAAATGTGGTAGCATTTTATTCGCACTGTGGACTACTGGGAACTACAGAAGCACTGTATCATGGAGTTCCAGTATTAGGAATGCCTCTTTTTGGAGATCAACCATCAAATGCTGCAGCAATTGAAGAAAGTGGTCTCGGGGTTCAAATTGAACTTAAGGAACTCACAAAAGAAAATCTTTTAAAAAAAGTTCAGGACGATTCTAAATCCCCGGTAAGCCGAAAATTGTTTAACTATTTCGCGCAAAAATTTCATTTTAGGCATAGTCCTCTTTCCTTTAAACAATTGTTGATTTATAAATAGCAAGTGTACCTATGAGACTGGTATTTTTGGTTAAAAATATTTAGTGTCGATATTTGAGAAATACATATAAAGTATATGCTAATAGATAAAATTGTATACACAGGTTTCAGGCTAAGGTTAAGTTGCTATCCCAAGCGTGGCACGACCGCCCGACTTCAGCGATGGAAAGTGCGGTATATTGGACTGAGTTCGCCGCTCGCTATCAAAACTTCACGTTCAGGTCATCAGCTGCTGACGTGCCTGTCTATCAATACTTATGTCTGGACATTTTGTGTATTTTACTTGGTATACCTGCAGCAGTGATTTACATAATCTTAACATGTCTTTTGAACTATAAAATTAAATCTAAGAAAAAGCCTAAGAAGGACTAAAAATTCATAAAATTGTAATAAGTTTTGTTAAAATACAATAATTTAAAATAAATCCTCTTGGTTATAATATATTTTAAATATTTCCAAATACCCTTGAAATATCTAAACAGCGACCGCTTATCTAAATGATTCCTTGTTTTAATAGCCTTATCACATACAAATAACGGCATATAAATGTACTCCATTGTAGAAGTATAGGTAATCCAGATATAAACGTAATATGAAATATCACTGACTAACTCATAATGAGATCTCTAAAAATATACACCCGATTGACTTGAAACTTAGTACCTATAGATACTTATTTGGCAATTTAGACGCTCACTAAAAAAGGATTGTAGGTATATGGTATTTTACATCTAAGTTCCGCAATTAAAATATTATCGTGCGCCCAGCGAAGCGCGCGGATATCAGCTAGTGAATCTATAATCCTATTACGTAACACTATTGTTGTAAAAGCGACAGTAAAAAAGTCAGAAAGACCTCATGACTTCTGACAGATATCGGTGTAATCACCTGAAATATTATGTAAAATACCGGGACCGCTCTCGGGGAGTAGCATCAAAGGCGCGAGATTTAACTGATTTACAATATCCCCTCGTCTGTACAAACGCCATATTCTGGCGTCTCAAATAATATGCGCATCTGTCAAACGCCATGATATGGCGTCGAGTGATAGCAAACTATTTCTAACATATATATGATATATATAACATATATATCTGTTATGCATAATCTGATAGCTTATTTAATAACGTTTCCATTGATATATGATTTTATTATACTTACTTAGTATATATGTATATAGTATATATATATATATATATATATATATATATATATACTTAGTATACTTGTTATATACTTACTTAGTACTTTTAGTACTTCGGAAAGTGCTCGACAGGTGCGCTATAATGGCCAAAATGACCCCGACATTCGAGTGGCTAAGCCTTTTTAGGTGTGTTGAAAAGGATGACATGCAACAAAGAACGTTAAACATTAAAAGGAATTCGCAATGCTGATAATAAATTCACAATAAGTTGAGTTGAATAAAAAATATTATATTACAGAGCTCCAATATAATATGCGTAGAACAACATAATTTGAATTATCAAAACCTTCTGAAGAAACACCGACATAATTTGTCGCTTTCTGGGTGAATTCAACGAAATACTATGTGAAGTAACTAACCCTCGAATAATTTTACTCTTTGATCTTACTGTCAAATAACTTTGTTTGCGTTTTTCTAACACAAACGCAGAGTATCAAATACTTGATATAGTTACTCTAAGAGTTCGTGAATCAATAATGAATAAACATGTGTCATCTAAATCGAAATACAATTATTTATATAGCGCAACGTAAGACTTTGTGCCCACATAATTTGCCGGGTTATAATAATATCAACTGTCACTGAACATTTAAATAAAGGGTATATTCCGAAATACAACCCAGTACACTGGCAAATGCAAATGACGTCATCAATTGACACTATATTGTACTGGCGTGCCGCCGCCATATTACGTCGGATATCCGGTCACAATAAAACAATTTTTAATTGTGTGTGCGCTGAATGAAGCATGCCAGAATTTGTTTTTATTTATTCAAACACAAAAAATATAGAATAATTGCTGGCATCTCTATTAGGAAGATATAATGATCTTTGGAGCACAAAATGACAAAATAATCGCCAACACTTTTCCAATATGGCGTAAATGTATGACATCATTTACTGTCCTATGTTTTGGAACGAATCACCAGTATAGCGTCGATTCAAGACGTCAAAGAATCGCAAAAATACAATAAATTACAAACGCACAACTACAAAATATCCTACTTTTCCAACAAAGTGTACGGAAACAGCCATTAAAATGTAGGTTGGTTGGTACTGGTCTACTCCATGAATACTGTGACGATGTGCATAATTTTCATTTGTACGCGAAATTTGTAATAGACTTAAAGTCTGTTTTTTATCTACTTATGGCTTCATTGAAAACATATCGCGAACAGCGAACATAGCATATTATGCTTAATCTATAAGGTTAATAATGTAATAATTTGGGCTTCATTACCACTTAAATGAGATTATAGTTAATAATAATAAAGATATTGTAAAAATAATAGTAGATATAATTTACGTAAAATGTTGTAGATTATTTTGGTACAAATACTACGTCAAAATAAATCGAACTTCGGAGATATCGGGGCTTGTTTCGAAGCATTTTCCGTTGATAATTGAATAAGGTCCAGCTTTTTCTTCTTTACATAAAAGGCTTGTAACGTAAATGTATTCTATTATAATAGTAAAGAATATTTGCAAGATATATTGCATGAAAAAAATGGACTATATATAATAATAGAATCTACAAATTAGAGCTCCCAAATCAGAATTTCGTGAGTTATTGTATAAACATGTATCGGGAGAAAGGTTATTAGTAGATAAATAAATCAGTCAGAGGAAACGAACTTTTTTAACAAGTAATTTTCATTTCAAGCAACGAACGAAAGACATACAATTTCAGCGAGGAAACCTTATAATTTCGCGTTTTTCCGTAATAGGCGTCTTAAACGCTCCGATATCGTCGTAGTCATCGTTTGTTCCACAAAAATTAGATGTCATGGACCAGGTGTCCCTGGAGCAGACACTGAAGACTAGCTTCACTAAGAAAAAGATCATCTAAGCGAAGAAGGCGTCATAGTGATGGACGCGGTAAGACAGACCTGGAAGACATCTTCAGACTGTTCAATGGGACCGACCGTGATGTCAACCCAACTTTCGTCACGCGTCATCTAAACAGGTTGTCTTCCGTGACGTTCGACCACGTTGACATGATCAGATTGTTAAAAGACATCACCATGTTGAAAGCCGAAATCACCGACATCTGTTTCAAACTTGAAGAATCGGAACGAGCCGCAAGAGAGCTGATGAAAGAAGTACATAAATGTTGCGAAACATAGTGACTTCCTGTTGTGTTTATTTATTTGACTTTAGAATTTGTTGTTAGAACATCTGCGAATTCGCCACAGTTGCAGAATGTCGCATAATATGACAAGCGGTTATCGTAATAGTAGTCATATTATTTCACCGATAATTGCTTCTCCGTCACTCAATACCATCTGACAGCGTATTTATGATCATAAAACTAGGGTGACCTCTTGACTGAAACCACGAATACTCATCCGCCGATACCCATATTACGATTAGGGAAGACGTTTGCAGATGTTTTTCGAAAATCTTTACGGTCGGCACACTCTTGTGATCAAAATAAGAAATTATTTCGTGTGTTGATCCAAAACAGGATAGATAATAACGGGTTTACTCTTGGGAAGACGTCGGTCAAGATCTGACTGGTGGAGGAACGCCAAAATAGCCGCAAGTACAACTTTGCGTGTTGTGAAGCCCACAACTCAACTTTTCCCGTGAGGACAAAAGTACGTCGGGAGAAAACTTTCTTCGTTTTGTTAAAGAACGAAACCAATCTCTGTACATATTACATCTGGAGTCTAATAGGTGAAACGAATTTCAAATCCTGCGTACTCTAGGTTCCTCCAAAACACTAAGAGACATTAACCTTATCGATGTAGTGTATAAACTAATATCCAGCCAATTGCAGTTGCCTGAGGTGAATAAAGATTGCTTGAAGGTCTGTCATCGATTGGGAGCCTCACATAATAAAACCCGACATCTGCTGGTTAGATTTTATGATACCGAACACAGACAGTTAGTGTGGGATAGTAAAACCGGACTAAAAGGCTCCGGTATAACCATCTCCGAGTTTTTGACCAAGAGTAGGCATCAAGTATTCACTTCAGCGCGTAAACATTTTGGTATAAAACAATGCTGGTCGTCCGAAGGCAAAATAATAATAATTCTTCCGGATAAATCTCGAAGGAAAATTGAAAGCATGGCAGAATTAGAACTGCTCACTGCTAAATATCCGTCTAGTACAGATGTGCAGAATGCGCCACAAACTGAAACAATGGCTTGTCTAAAAAAATCTTCGACAAATAGTGCAAATGTTCCTAAGAAAACGCGCCGACGTTAATATCTGTTTTTGTGTAGTTATATATTGCATTTGTACAACGTCCCATATTTAGCCGTATTATGTATAATGTTTTGTGCCAGTAATCAATGTTTTTGTTTGTACTTTAATCAACAAATATAGTTTTCTTAGTAGGTACATTATCAATCGTATGACACTGTTTTCAAAAGATCAAATTAATAAACTTTAATAGGTATTATATATATTATTATATTTACTTTGAATACATTCATAGCTTGAACGTTTGACATAAAGTATAATTAAATATTCTATGACTGACGTTCAATACAAATGAATTTTTGAAAGTGATAATGTATGTTACTTTTACATCATACAGTATGTGTTTATAATGATTTGTTCAGTATACTGTAGACAGCTTTCTTTTTCATTTTCTTTTCTTTTTCCTAATATTTTTTATCACACTAATTGTTTAGTAACTAATGTTAGCTTTAAGTATAAATTTCTTCCATCATGCCACTGAGTAAGATGAGTTGCCTTTAATGTTACTTTTTTTTAATTTTTTTTTAATTTTAAATATTGTTTAAGTTATTTTTTTTTCTTTATTTACATTTTTTTATTTTTTTTATTAAGTATTTTATTAGTATTGTGCTTTTTTTAATAATATGTATTCAGATAACGATACAGATAATAATGATAGCTTTTTCTCATGTTCGTCTTCATCTAACAGCTTTTTAAGCCTG